TCAGCCATGGTCCAAGGAACGGTGGCTCTAGATACCAATTGTTATGTCCCGAATTTTAGTTGATAAATTTTCTGTATTTTTTTGTATATTTTTTGTATATTTTTTGTAGTGAAGAAGATAGGAAAGATGAAGATGATTATAGAGAGAGAAACAGGGATAGAGAGAGAGTGAGTGAGAGAGGAGAGAGAGAGGAATAAATTTGTTGCTAACAAACTGATACTCCTTCTGCATTGTTTTCACGTTTTAACAACATTCTCACTTGGGCCCACAACATTTTCCCCTATTGGGTAAAACCCAATTCTCAACTTGCATCAAAAGAAATAAACCCAAATTGTGGAAATTAAAAGAAATGAAAAATAACATAAATTTGGATTAAGCTGCTGAGCTCTTTAATTGACAGCCACGTGTGCAGCTGGATTTGTGTCCCTTGCCTCTTCATCAACGGCCCAGATCTTGCCACGCGTCAGCTCTTGAAGTCCCATTTCATCTTCAGACCAAACCCTATCACTTGTCTCATTCCCCTTTCTGTAAAAATCGATCTTGCTCCCTTCTTCTTCTTTACCTCGCAAATCCCCCATTTCCCCCAGAATACCTCTTGTAATTTGTGAGGTTATAACACATGGTTGAGATTATTATTTGAATGACTAACAAAATGATTGGGTGTTGCTATATCTTGTCGTATTCGATGTTTTCCTTTTCGACCTCAATGGCAGGTCGAAGAATTCGAGCACACGTTATCATGCACAACCAAGAAAGGGAGGTAGAAAAGTACATTCAACATTTCTTATCTCATTCGACGCAGTTATACATTTGTTGATACTAACAAAAATGATCGATTACTATCATATCTTGTTTTGCTCGATGTGTTCCTATCTGACCTCGGTGGCAGGTCAAAGTGCTCGAAGAAAAAAAACCCACCATGACTAAGGCCTCCGGGCTGGGTGGTCAAATGTAACGACCACTCCTTCGAGGGTGGGCATGTATTCGAAGACAAAAAATCCACCATGACTAAGGCCTCCGGGCTGGGTGGTCGCTTGTT